GAAGTTTCCTTTTAATGTTATGAGAAAGTACGTATAACCTAATGTTAATAGAAGCAAAAATGAAACATCCAGCCCATTCAGGTACACACATCAAATAGAAATAGGACTGAAGGAAACAGTTCAGAATTAGTAAATTCCTGTAGGATTTAGGGTGGCCTTCATTTCCTTCTGTATACATTTCTGAATATTTTCAAATCTTCTATAATGAACGTAGGACCTTTATCAGAAAAAAAAGTGGGGTCTAATTTTGTTTTTATACCTGAAGAAATTTGCTGTATTTGCTGTTTTTCTGCTGACTCTTTACTGACTCATAGAGATTACTAGGAATTGGGACTCTTTACTGACTCATAGAAATTAATAGGAACTGGGCCTAAAGGAGGAAATAACCACAGGGAAAACTGAGAAGTTTTTCCTTCATCCTTTAAATGACACAAGTCACTGGCACCTACTTGTAGCCCTGTGATCATCGTGTCACCAAACTGGAGCCAGAAGTAAGTGCTTCTTTCTTTATTTTCACCCCAGTGTCGCCTCTATGACCTGCGGGCAGACAGGGAGGTTGCCATCTATTCCAAAGAGAGTATCATATTTGGAGCATCCAGCGTGGACTTCTCTCTCAGTGGTAAGATTTTATTTCACAGACTTTTCCCAGGACTGTAAGACAGGACCAGAATGAAACTAGCACTCCATCAGGCTTTTCGTCAGCTGAGCTTCCCGTGGACCTCCTCCACATTTGCACCAGTTTTTCTTCTCTGAACTTCTGACCTCCCACTTTGCCCTGCCCCAGGCAGCTTCCCCTAGCTCCATTCCCTGCAGGGGAAATGAAGGCTGTACACCCACCTAATGCTGTCCTTCAAGACAATGAAGTGTCAGAAATTCGCATCTGCAATGCTCAGGCATTTTTCTCTCCAGCCTTTGCTTCTCTTCAGATCCCAAAGGGAACGTTTCTCTAAGGTGGAGGTGAAGCAGGAGTCCCTTCTGGGGCCAGACACGGTGGCTTGCGCCTGTAATCCGTGCACTTTGGGAGGCCAAGGCAGGCGATCACTTGAGGTCAGGAGTTTGAAACCAGCCTGGCCAACGTGGTGAAACCTTGTCTCTACTAAAAATATAAAAATTAGCTGGGCGTGGTGGTGCACGTCTGTAATCCCAGCTACTCGGGAGGCTGAGGCAGGAGAATCACTTGAACCTGGGAAATGGAGGTTGCAGTGAGCTGCGATCATGCCACCTGCACTCCAACCTGGGTGACAGAGCAAGACTCTGACCCAAAGGAAAAAAAAAACCCTTCTCAGTGCCCTGAAGCTCATGGCTCCTTTGTGGGAAGTTGCCAGTGAAAATTAAAGCATAGCTCCGGAAGTATCATGTCAAAAAAAGAAAGAAAAAATAGAGACTTAAGGGAGAGCTAACAGGCTGGCTAGCTGGACCACACCATTTTCCCAGACACATCCTATACTACTGCACATGATGTTCCTTCTGCCTGGAACTTCTCTTCCCTGCCTTCTCTGCTTGACAGACTCCTATACAACCCTCAAGAGCCAACTCAAATGTCACATTAACTTTTTCCCTTTAAATAAGTTTTACAAGTTATTAACGACCAGATGACTACAAATATTTTACTTGTGTCTGCAGTGCCCTCCTCGATCCCCCTTCCTCTCTAGTCCCATAGCACTTGACGTGTGTAAAGCACCTGCATTATGGCTGTTACCATGGGATGCTACAGTGATCTGTTCCTCTCAGCCCCACATCCTCCACTGCGGGTAGTGACTGTGCTTTCTCCCCTTTCAATCCTCAAGGCAAAACACAGTGCTTGGGACTCAGTGTGCCTAAATCACCGCTTACTAAATGAGTGAGGGAGTGAGTCATGAAATGAGAAACAGGAAGCAAGGAACTGTCTTAACAGCTATCATCTCACCCTGCTTCAAGGTCGCCTGCTGTTTGCTGGATACAACGATTACACTATCAACGTCTGGGACGTTCTCAAGGGGTCTCGGGTCTCCATCCTGTTTGGACATGAAAACCGTGTTAGCACTCTACGAGTTTCCCCCGATGGGACTGCTTTCTGCTCAGGATCATGGGATCATACTCTCAGAGTAAGAGATGCTTTTCTGTTTTCCTGTGTGTGAGAGAAGAGAGGGGGTGTGATGGGCCTTCTGAAGCGGAGGGAAGGCTAAGCTCAGATGGGCCTGCTCAGCCACGCCGAGCTCCCATTTCCACTCTGCCCACAGTCACAGAAGGAATGAGTTGCATGGATAGGTAGTGAGTGCTCCATCAATGCAGGTATTCTAGCACAGACTCGACAACTGTGCAGCTGCCTTTAGTTGAGGGAATAGTTAGGCTGGATAATCCAGAATCTTCCTTTTGACCCTAAAAGTCTGACTGTTGTGATTCTAGTTTTTGGCAAACCACAGATAACAAGTCTCTTCTCCTATAGTTAGGGTTCTGATTACGATTATTGACCTTGTGATGACAAGGGTCACAGATCCAGGAGGCTGTGAAGCCCCTGAAATTGCTACTTTTTTCTTTTTAATTTTTCTATTGCTGAATCTTGGAAGTGAAGCCCCTGAAATTACATGCCAAATTTGGGGCATATGCATTTTGCCCTCATGGCTTTCATTAAATTCTCAAAGAGAGCTTCATAACCTAGATGAGGGTTGGCTCCCCTAAAATACTGCCTAAATCACCTGTTTAGGCCAGGCATGGTGGTTCATACCTGTAATTGTAGCACTTTGGGAAGCCAAGTTGGGTGGATCACTTGAGCTCAGGAGTTCAACACCAGCCTGGGCAACATGGTGAAAACCTGGTCCTACTAAAAATACAAAAATTAGCCAGGCGTGGTAGCATGCACCTGTAGTCCCAGCTATTTGGGAGGCTGAGGCAGGAGAATCGCTTGAACCCAGGAGGCAGAGGTTGCAGTGAGCTGAGATCATTCCACTGCACTCCAGCCTGGGCAGTAGAGCAAGACTGCGTCTTTGTTTTAAAACAAAAAACAAAAAAACACCATTTATACAGCAAAGCTAAGTTTATTGCTTGCCTCAGTGTGGAACATCAAGAACTGGTAGAGGCGTAGTGGCATCTCAGAAGGGGAGGGCAAAGGCATGCATGAGCTTTTTTTGGTCTGGTTTAAGGCAGGTCTTTGTTGGGGGACACTTAATTAGGATTGGACAAATTGTGGCATATAGTTTTAGGATTGCTGGACACAGGGTTGGGGGAAAGTTTCAAACAGACTCTTCAAAACTAAATAGTCATTTGATGCTCTGTATTGTCCTGAGACGTGGGTGTATTTTCTAAAGAAGATAAGTTGAGTACTCTAATGTTAGGATAAATAGAGAAAAGGATTTTTGCAAAATTCCTGAAACAAATAAAGAAGGTAACCTTGGAGTTCATCTTCCTGGGTAAGAGTGTCCTAAATGAGTAAGTCATATTAATATACACAGTGAGCTGTATGGGTTCAAATGGCATCTGGGAGAGTAGCCAGGCCCTAGTAAGGAGGCTGCAGAGGCCCCACAGACAATTAACCAAGGGAGGAGGGGAACAGGTTCAAAGAAGCACTTTTCAGTTGCTAGGAGTAGAGTGTTATCCTTCTAAGGCACATGAGCAAACTGTTTTGGATGGAGTGTGTGTGTGTGTGTGTGTGTGTGTGTGTGTGTGTATACACACATATACGTATGCCCATTCATGTGTGTAAATAGACTAACTTTATCTCTTTAAGCTCAAGTTTTATAAGTTGTTAACTAAAGGTCTAAAACTATCCATTTTTGTCTTCACAGGTCTGGGCCTAATCATAAATGCACTCATGTATACCTGAGAATTTGAAATCTTCACATGTAAATAGATATTACTTCTAGAGGAGCTTAGGGTTTACTGCAGTTTAGCTTAGGGGAGCAACCCATGGCTCAGAGGTCCCCAAGCATCTCCAATATGACTATTAAAACTGTCGCTTCTGGAAATACACTAGTGTGAGCCTTCAGCACTACGAGAATACCTTCAAGTACAGTGTTTTTCTTTTGGAACACTTTTTAAAATGTATCTGTTTTTATCTGTTTTTAAGGTTATTCTAAATTATACTAGCCTCAACTCATTCTGTCACCAGTAGAATTCAGCAGTTAATATATTCTATATTATTTCTCTGAATCAATTCATTTTCAGAGCGCTTTAAAGTCTGATATTTCTTGATGTGCACTGTGATGCCTGGAACCTTCCTCTGGAAGTGCTGGTTTTACGGACTGAGGACTGGTAACTGGTCTGTGATAGAAGCAAATTCCAATTCCAAATTAATTAATTAGACAAAAATCACTTTTTTTAGAATGTGTTTTTGTTGTAAAAGTATCTTTTTCAGCCTCCTGTTCTATTGTCTTTTTTCAGATAAAACATTTTTGTCTATGGTGAACTGCTATAAATGATGCAGAGAAATGCCTAAAATGGACAGGTTGTTTGATTAGTGGATGCTGTGATATGTCACTGTGTCACTTAGACAGGGCATTTTCTCTGAATCAAAGAAAAAGCCAATGCTGTCTGTAAACAAATGCTTCTGAGAGCAAGCAAAACTTTTCTGAATGGGTACGCAAGATAGGAAACTTATTTAAAAACCTATCAGTAGAATTAGCAGAAACATTTCAGTTAAAGTGGAACTTGTCCATATCAATTATGTTCGTATGTATTGCATTGCATTTATAAGAGCATATGCAGATTGACTGATAGTCTTGAATAATAATGTCTGTTTCTCTTATATAGAAAGAAAAA